CTGCTGCCCCACGGCCGAGGCGACTTGGTCAGCCTCTTTGAAGCCACGAACGAGTACTTTCTTGAGGCGCTTCTGTATGAGGAGACAGAGGCAGACGTTATGAAAGTCTTCTTCCACAACATTGAAAAAGGTTACTTTGAAAGCTTCATACATTTTCAGCAGTGTTTGCCTATATTCATGTAGAAGCATATATTCGGATATACACGCACATTTATATATACATATATGTATGTATGTATAATATATACATATGTATGTGTATATGTGTGTGTGTGTGTGTAAATATACACAAGGGGTGCTTTTTAAAGATTTCCACTGATCCACTTCCGCTTTTTCTAGAAGGCTGAAATTTTACATGCGTAAAGTTAAACATCTCTATAGGTCATGTGCTGATTTCCAGTCCTTCTGTTACAGCGGTGAAGTCTGCAATCTGCAAGTTTCATTGGAAACTGTGAAGTGACTTCAGAAATTGTGCTTTATCATCTTGGAACATTTGCCCTTCAAAAGTGACTTCATGGATAGGGGAAAGATGAGTCATATGTTGCAAGGTCAGGAGAATAGGGAGGATGAGGAAGGATGTCACTGGCACTGGATCATGCTTCCGTCTAGCCAAAGTGAGAGTTCTGAACAAGGGCGTCATCTTGTAGGAGGGTCACACCTTTGTTCAACATTCCGCACATCTTGTTTTGATAGTCTCCAGTAATTTCTGGGCAGTGAAGCATAGTAAGCTCCTACCTTTTGGGGGGTTGGTGGGTCATTCTTTTGATTGGGCCTTTATTTCTGAATCATATTGATGGGATGGGCCCAAGCCTCATCCTGCATCATTGGTCTGTTAAAAAAGTCCTCCTGGTTTTCTTGGCGCGTGGCTTAAGGAGCCTTGGGACAATCCACTCCTTCCTGTTTTTGGAAAGGTGTGAGTGGCCTGGGAACCCATCGAGCAGACAACTTTTGCATATGCAGATGGTCAAGAAAGATTTTGTCCACAGACCCAACACTAAGCTTGGCGGAAAGTAATACGTCGACCTTCCGAAATGACAGTCTCCGCTTGATGGGTGGTGTCCTCATTAATGGCAGACTGGGGTCGCCCTGGGATAGGAGCAGTTCCCACAGATCTCCGACCACACCTGAACTGGCGGTCCCGATGTTTGACAGTTTTATATGATGGGGCATTTTCCCAGAAATTTCTTCCAATTCATCGAAGGTCTCTTGTGTGTGGCCACTCAAGTATAAAATCTGATCACTGCTCGATAATGCACTGGTTCCATTTTCACACCTTACTGCACCTTCAACACTGGAAATCAACACGACTTATATGTGCATATTCATGTATATGAAATTTCAGCCTTCTAAGATAAGCGGAAGTGGGCCTGGAGGAAATCTTTGATGTGCGCCTCTTGTGAGGATACACACACACAGACACACACATACAATATATATAATATATATATATATATATATATATATATATATATACACACACACACATGTGTGTGCGCGCATGTGTGCGTGTGTGTGCGTATACATACATACATACATACATATAATATATTATATATATATATATATATATATATATATATATATATATATATATATATAATATATATATATATATATATATATATATAATATATATATATATATATATATATATATATATATATGCTTGCATGGTTCTTTCTTTTTGTTTCAGCATATGAACATCAGTTGCAGTACCGACTCGAAGACAATTCGTACACCACCTTGGGCAGCCGCAACAGATCTGCTTCTTCCTGGATGACAGCGTATATCCTCACTATTGGTACAGTCTCCGTAAGTTTTCAACGCTCGCCTTGCTGTCCTGTTTATAGTAATAGTACAAGATATCTTAAGAAAAGTACTTTGCATGACTGACAAGTATTTAAGAGCGGAATATTCTCTTCGTCCAGTTCAATTTTAGTGTCATGCGGGAAACCTGGTCTTGGCAAGCGGGACTCCAAAGAAGTGAAGAGAGTGCAGATGGCTGTTTTGACTCGGTTGGGAAACTATTTGACGACGAGTTAAAAGTAAGGGTGTCGCGTAGAAGTTACTGATGAAATTAATATTTCTTTTCCTTTATTGTTTAATATATTTTTGTCACCAGAAAAGAAAATGAGAAAACTTGAATTCCAAGGAAGCAATTTCGTATTTGTAGAGGCATTCAAGTGCGAAATTGTCATTGGATCACACATCTTTCTTTTTTTAAGAACAACGTCTCCAAGAAGGATTCGAGAGTCCTACTTACGGCCTATAAGATGATAGCGGTGGGCATCAGTGGCATGGGGGGACCACCGCACTTGGAACCCTTCAGAGCGAGAGACTGCCTCGTCCAGCACTCCTCAAAGGACCCCTTCTTCCTTGCCATAAAGGCCTATGCCATTGCCGTCGTTCAGCTTCCAGAGACAAAAAAGATGCTCAAGGAACTGCTTCTCCAGGCAGTGGAGACCGAGAAATACATATATTGGGACTTGCCAGATGATGACAGTGCGTAAAATCTTATCGCTATCACCCATGTTTCTTATATTTGTATGGATGACTAGAACAAATGTTACACGCAGTAGTAGGAGAGTCACATAGATAACCAAATACATCTCTGTATTAATTTTTTTTCGCTAATACATTATCCTATCGATTTCCTACTAAACTGATATTCCTCGTAATTACAGCGGAAACCAAAATAAAAGAAATACGGATAGCGAGTTATGCAGTCCTCGCCATCATACGTTACAGCTATGACACCTTCAAGCACGAACTAAGCAAAATGTCGAGGTGGTTGGTCGAGCAAATGAACAGCCATGGCGGATTCTACTCTATATTTGTAAGTGATATATGTGAGGACCATGTGTTTAGTACATTTTTTTTATAACATAACATATAACATTTAGTAAAGCATTTTTCTTTTTGCCATTGGCTACTATGTCCCTTTCAGATTTCAATTCCATCAGTGAGGTTTAAAATGTCCTTTCTTGAGTTCAGTGACGTCTTTCTCAGGACACGATGATGGCCGTGCGGAGTCTGCTCTTCTTTGACACGCGGCCGATAGAGTATGACGTGAGCGTGGCAGTCATGGCAACGGGCTGGAATGGCACTCTGCATTTCAACAAAGAGCATCGCTTCAAGGTTCAGGGGGTTCCTCTTCCTGTTCTTCCCACCAATGTGAGCTATACTGTGACGGGAAGCAGCTGTGCGATTGTCCAGGTGAGGTCGTGAGTGGGTTAGCCGTGTGTGATCTCACTGCCATAACTCTTTCTGAAATCTGTATGCAGTTCTGTATAATTCATTCTATAGTATCCAGTACTTTGACATATCCATTTCACTCTCTCTCTCTCTCTCTCTCTCTCTCTCTCTCTCTCTCTCTCTCTCTCTCTCTCTCTCTCTCTCTCTCTCTCTCTCTCTCTCTCTCTCTCATACACACACACACGCACACATTCACACACACCGTGACTTATTTTCTCTATACCTTAATAACATAGTTTTCGGGTTTCAATGCAAAGCATCTCTCCCCTTTTAAAGACTGTTGTCCAGTACAACGTGCAGGAACATTACCAAAGCAGCGCGTTCACCTTAGAAGTCACGGGCCACTGGAATCCTAGCTTTGTCTGCAACAGGCCCCACCATATCTCCGTCTGCGTAGCCTCCCCTCACCTCGGCAACAGGACGTCAAACCTTGTTGCCGTTGAGGTGACTCTCGTGTCCGGCTTCGTTCCTCAAAAGAAGGACCTCAAGGAGATTGTACGTCCCTCCCTGAGCGTCTTCACCCAGTACCGGTACGAGAAAAAGAGGAATAAGGTTATCTTCTTCGCCGACGGCCTCACAGCCAAGGAGAGCTGCCTGGAGTTCAAGGTGCATCGTCTGATAGACTTCGAGGTGGCCAAAGCAGGGGTCGTTGTAGTCTATGATTACTATCATCCAGAAATCGCCGTAAGCAAGGTAAACAATTATTTTCGGGGTTACGGCTTTTCTATACAGCTAAGGGGCTCCATTAGCTCCATCTGAGCAGAATCTTAATGGGATCGCACCTCTGTTAAGGCGGTATCAAAATGTTATAAATGAGTGACGGCATGCTTTAGTGGCGTTACGACACTATGGCATGATCTGTTCTCTCTCTCATAAACCATTGACAACATGGTTAATATCCTAACACCAACAGTTCGGTCAAGAATTCACAATACTACTTTGGGTGATATTTTGAGGGGTCAGACTATAACATTATGACACCTTGAGGTAATTCTCAAGTGCCGAAGAATTTGTTATCTTAAGAAATGATTCAGTAGTTATCACTGGTCAATCATTATTATTTTATAATTCATGATATTAGCATTATAGTTGATAAAGTATTGAGTATTATCATTAACAATGAACTGATTTTATTATCGTAATCACTATTATTGTCATTATTGTTATCCTCATTCTCACTAATACTATTATTATCATTATCATGATGATTATCATTGTTATCATTATCCCTATTATCATTACTATTATTTTATCATTTTAACAATAACGATTATTATCATTATCGTCATAATAATAGTCCCTATTTGCATTATTACTGTGATTGATTATCATCATTATTATTGTTGCTATTGCTATTAATACAATTATTATTGACATTACTATCATCATTAGCATCAATCACTCCATCGCTCTGTCATTTGTTTCAGAGTTATTCGTTAACGTCTTCGAGCAAATGTTCTAGTGTCCAACAGGCGATAAGCGCGTACAGGTAATGTGAAGACAAGGTTCAGTTTCCACGCACAGTGGCTGTGTATATACATGTGTGTGTGTGTGTGTGTGTGTGTGTGTGTGTGTGTGTGTGTGTGTGTGTGTGTGTGTGTTGTGTGTGTGTGTGTGTGTGTGTGTGTGTGTGTGTGTGTGTGTATATATATATATATATATATATATATATATATATATATATATATATATATATATATACATATATATATGTATGTATATATATATATGTATATATGTATATATGTTTATATATATATATATATATATATATATATATATATGTATATATATATATATATATATATATATATATATATATATATATATATACGCATATATATGTATATACAAACACACACTTCCTCTCTTTCTTTCTTTCCCCTTTTCTTTCTCTCTTTCTTTACCTCTTTCATTCGGGCTTTCTTTCTCTTCTCTCTTTCTTTCTTTCTCTCTCTTTCTCTATTTCTTTCTGGATGTATTTCTCTTCTCTCTTTGTTTTTCTTTCTTTCTCTTCTCTTTTTCTTTCTCTCTTTCTCCGTTTCTCCCTTCCTTTCTTTCATTCTCTTTTTATTTCTTTCCTTATTTCTCATTTTCTTTCTCTCTCTCTCTCTCTTACTCTGATTCTTTCTTTCTTTCTTTCTTTCTTTCTCTTCTCTCTTTCTTTACCATAAAGGAATGCACGCATTATAAGTGTTTTCATGATTCGTTAACAGTCGTTGTATTATGATAATATAGATAATAATAATGTCATTAACAACGATATTAATAATAGGAGCAAAGACGTTAATGATCATCATAATTGTAAAAATATGTTTATAATGATGATATAATAATAGTAATGAAGATAAATATAACGAAAATAAGTATGATGATAATTATTAAAATGTTAATGGTGATGAAGATAATGATGATTTTAATGTTAATGGTGATGAAGATAATGATGATTTTAATGTTAATGATGATGTTAACTATGATGAAGATAATGATGATTTGAATGTTAATGATAATTTGAATGTTAATGATAATAATGATGGTGAAGATAATGATAATGATTATAATAATAATAATAATAATAGTAGTAGCAACAACAATAATGGTAATAGAAATAACAACAATAATGATAATAACAATGACAGGTAAGTAACTATGCATATACTTACACCATTTTATACATACTCCACACACTTCTGTCAGCAATACCATAATTTACATACGGACAAAGAAATATTCATTTTTTCATATCACAAATATAGGTGGCAGAGGATCAGTCAGTCATCCCCAGTTCCCACAGCCAGTCATATTTCCGGTTTAGTGTGTATGGATCCCTGAATCACCTGTACTCATGAATGGAGGAGTTAAACTGCTTTGTACACATTTAGAAGACGGAAAATGCCCTTCCTTCATAATAATCGTTATGATTGTATATGATGATAACCATTTTTATTATCATTATTGTAATTGATGATACTTGTGACAGTAGTATTGATGCTGTCATTATCATTTTCATTAACCCGAAGTTATCTGTCGTTATTGTTTTTATCGTTATAGATTTTCTTATTTTTTCTTAAATAATTGACGGAAAGGAGACATGTGGCATCGTTTTTGGATGTTGTGAAGGTAAGAGGATGCAAGTCATATATTTTCTACATATATATATCACGGTGAGTGTATCAAAAGGCAAATGATGTCTGCAAATGGCCACACCTTCCCGAACGATATAGGGTTTTATTCAAAACGAGGAAAAATTATGAGAGGTTGGCGGGTGGGATGATCATATGTACCTTCCCTTGCTTCCGCTGGATCAGTTGGTAACCAAGCATCGGCGTGGAAGGACGCATCTTGTCCACGACCGCCATGGCCGCCGCCCGTCTCGCTTCGGCTTTGCTTGCCTGTGTTCTCGCGGTGTCCTGCGTCGGGTAAATTTAAATTGAAATGATTTATTTTGGTCATATAACTTATTTAGAGCTGGTCATTTTATACAGAATGTACGGGTATGACCGAGTTTTTTTGGTTATGGGTATAACCTTAAAAAGCTCAACACGAAAACATAAGACTGACAAAAAAATATTTACAAAATAAAATGACCTAATAACTGAACATTAACAAGAGAATAAGACATATATTACATAAAATAGTCTAAACAAGATAAAAATATAATGGTAATTACTAATTCTAATTTACAAAAACACGTTATATTAAGATACAAGATATATATATATATATATATATATTATATATATATAATATATAATATATATATGTATGTATATATATATATATATATATATATATATATATATATACATACACATGCATATATACACACATATACATATACATACATATACATATATATATACATATATATTATACATTTCTATATATATATATATACACACACACACACACATATATATATATATACATATATACACACACACACAACACATATATATACACACATACATACACACACACACACACACACACACACACACACACACACACACACACACACACACACACACACACACACACACACATATATATATATACACACACATACATACACACACACACACACACACACACACACACACACACACACACACATATATATATATATATATATATATATATACATATATATACATATATATATACATATACACATACAGATACATATACACATATACGCACACACATATACATATATATACATATATATATACACATATACACATATACACATATACACACATATACGTATACATATACTCACACTCACATATACATATACATATATACACATACATGCACACACATACATAAACATACATACATATACATACATACATATATATACATACATATACATATATAAGTACTACCAATAATACCGGCATTATAAAATAAATACATAAGATTACGAAAGCATGTGTATACAGGACATAAGGGTAAGACAGTAATAATATAGCAATTTTAGTGTTTTCAATATTTGTTTAGTAAAAACTTCTTTAGAGTGGATTTAAAGCAATTTAAAGAGGGCTTACTTTTAATGTTAGGTGGCAATTTGTTATATATTAGAGCTCCACGATAAGTTATGTGTGTCTGTGATTGGGAGGATCAAACCAGTGATTGGCGGTCTAAAGTAGTCTCTCAGAGAATATGGGTTATTTGTTATGTTTGGGAAATAGTTGGGGAATGTGTCCGGGCAATTCAAGCATTTGTATGTATAAACGGCACATATAAGTGTGTTTATATCGTTAAATTTAATTTAAATAACTTCAGCTATTTTTTTAATCAAAACGATTGGGTTGAGTGAGGTTTTGCTCGCCCCGCCCCACACTAAGGCAATACGTAAGGTTAGGATAAACTAAGGTGTAATAACGTAACATAAGTACGCCTCTATTAAAAAGGTTTCGAGTTTGACTTACTAAACCACATAGTTTTGCTATTTTACTACGTACGCTTTGAATATGGTAGTGCCAACAAAGATGTTTATTAACAATAACTCCAAGAAATTTTGTTTGATTTGCTTCTCGGATACTTTTTCCATTAATCTCGTTTTTATTGAGAGGGTATGTCAATAGTTTATGTCTATGGAAGATAATGTATTGTGTTTTGTCGGAGTTAAGGGTAAGTTTATTGACATTTAGCCAGTTGCTTACATTAGCTGTTCTTTGTTAACATTAAGGATGATATTGTCGATATTTTTGACCGTTAAGTAAATAGTACTGTCGTCTGCAAACAGGATGGATTTTAAATTGGATGAGACCTGCGGTCATTAATATACAATAAAAATAAGAGGGGTCCCAGTATGGAACCTTGAGCTCTTAAACCAAGCATATGAGGCACCTCAGATTCCATAATGATGGAGCTTGTCTAGTAGGATGTTATAGTCTACCTTATCAAATGCTTTTGTGAAATCAAAAAATATACTACATAAAACTCATTATTATCAAATGAACTTAAAACGTCATTTGTAAAATATTGTAGAGCTGACTCTGTTGATCTTTTCTATCGAAAACCAAATTGATGCTCTGAGAGTATATTGTGTGCATTGCAGAATTTATTTACTCTATTATACATTAACGTTTCAAGAATTTTACTAATTGCATTTAAAATAGATATGGGACGAAAGTTTTTTGGATCAATAAATGAACCTCCTTTATGGATTGTAGTAACCCTAGCCATTTTGAGTTTATTAGGAAATGTCCCAGCAGACAGCGAGATTAAAGAGACGAGTAATGATTGGATTTAGGTATGGCAATGATTTTTTGATAATTTTCATTGGGATATTATCTTCTGCAGAACTTTCTCGTGAGTTTTGATTGGTATTGTATAATTAATTTTCTGTGACTGGCCTTAGGAAAATGCTTTCTGTTATGGGATTGTTCAAGTACTCTAGGTGACTGTTGGTAGGTGACTGGAATTTGTTAGCAAGTACTGCTCCGATGTTTGCAAAATAATTATTAAGGGTATCTGGGTCTGGAGCTTCAAGTGCTTTTGTTTTTGATTGTCTATTTAAGATGTCATTTATTACCCTCCAGGGTTTTTTTTTTTTTTCGAGTCACCCGATTCAGCTTGCTTTTCTCTATAATAGGTAGCTTTAGCCCTGTTAATAGAGGCTTTTACTTGATTTCTGATAGACTTATAAGCCCTGTCATATGTTAGAGGTTTTCTTTGATATTTCCTTTGGAGTCTTTTTTTCCTTTCTTTCTTTGAATAATTGTTTAATTTCATCTGATATGTATGGTTTATTGGCATGCTGTTCTTTAATCTTTTTGTTATTTAATGGAATATTTCTTTCGAATATTGCTGACAGCCAATCATGGAACTGATTAAAGCAATCATTTGTATCATGGCCAGTTAGACAGTCTTGCCAGTCAGTAGTTGAGAGTTTTTGCATAAAAGTATTGACATTGTTTTCATTCAAGTCGCGGAACTGGAACTGAATAGTGCTGATTGGTTTAGGTAAGTTGGTTGACTTGAAGCATGAGAAGATTGGAAAATGGTCAGAAATAAAAAGGATAAACTATACCTTTGATATGATTATGTTTGATGTTGTTTGTCCAGATTTGGTCAAGCAAGGTTGCTGTGGTCGAAGTTACTCTAGTGGGACGTGATATTGTACAATAGCGAAAATGACCGTGGAAAAGGGCTACGACTTCCGCTACGTCTTCTGAGTGAGATTTCAAGAGGTCCAAGTTGAAATCACCCATCAAATAAGAAATTGCTT